TCGTTTACGGTATAACGCCGCTTGTAAAAATTGGGAATATGTTTAGGTATCAACGAGATTGGCGGTTCCATAAGAGCGAAGGAAACTGGTTGACACGATCGCAATATGGTGGTGTTAAAGAGCAAACGGGGTCTTACGAGAAGGGCCAATACAATGTATTTGACCCATTACAGTGGCGCAAGGTAAGTACTTTCCGTAGGATTCACTTTGAAATTCTGATCAGAAGTATCTTTCATTCTATTATTTTTAAAGTGTTTCTCGCTGTTGTACCTTTAAATGTTTCGTCTACCTGGATCAAAGCTCAAACTGCGATGTATCATAATTGTTATAGTGAGCCTACCATATTGTTATCTAAATGGCACACAACATGTTTGCTTATCTTTTTGAATGTTTCCGTTTGTTTTGTGAACATCCCATTTCGATTAATAGCATCCAAGCACTGAAGTAGGCAGCGTATGGACCTTTGAGATAGTGGTGCTTAGATAGGATGTGAAGCAGATGATAAAGCCACATAAAGAAGAAATTAGTATTTGAGAAGAAGAGAGTAATTCCAATGTAGGGTACAAGAAATTCATGCAACCTAGGCCTGAAATGTAACAATTCTGTAATCGAATCTATTTTCTAGATGCTAGCGTCACATATGCATTTTAGTCTGCATTCATTGATATTTGCTAAAAATAAGAAACTTTTTAATTTTCTTGTTGTTGGAATGGTTAACTTCTAATTCATATGCGAGTGTAATTACGAAGTCGCATCACATTTGGAATCGCCGGCGTAGGTTTTTTCGACGCGAATTCGTTTTCCATTCCAGTTGTCGAAATCTGGTTGTACCCGATCCTTAACTTTAGTCCATCATATGCACAATAAATTTTTACTTCACTCCTTTCTAGAAATTTTGTAATTGTACAAACCGAAATTTCCTAATTGACAATATTTAAGATCCCGAAGGAGCTGAAGTTGGAGTACAAAGAACTGGAGGAGCGACCGAAATTGCCAGCGATGTTCGGCGGTGGCGGAGGAGCAGCGGCAGCGTCGATGGGTACGTCGGCTCCGCGTCCGGCGTCATAGTTGGCAAGTGGCGCGGTCGCCCGCACGTCGCGTCGTGGGGGACTCGCTACAAGTGCTCGATCAGTCAGGCTCTGTCCGTCTCCGTGTTCACCTCCAATCACCTCTCCGCCACTTCATCGCATTGTATTTATAGCGCTTTTTCCTCCCGAGAAAATTCCCACGAGCGTTGTGACGTCAGGATTCCCACACACTCGAAAACGTCGCGACCTCGCTACCACGTGTTTATAAGTTCCCTGCCGCAGCGTGATATCATAAAGGATCAACGCTTGCGCTCCCCACATCCTCAACCAGAGTCCGTCGTGCATTGTCTCTGATCTTTCGTGTCGGGTACAAACGGCCGCGGCGGCCCTCCTCCTTTCTTTCTCTTCCCGTTCCTCATCTCACTGAATTCTCTTTCCAGATTGTTACGCGTTAAAAGTATTGAGTGCGATAGTTGTCGTCGGTTCTTATAAAGTGTTTTTGCCCAAAAATCATAATTCCTGTCTGATCGCTGCACGCCGCATTGTGAGTACCATCTAGTCGCGTTCCGCGTGCGCGTATCACCCCATCCCCGGTCGGGCGCCGCCCTTGTCCGTATAAATCGTACTTTTGTTACAGTGTAATAAAGCATCTTTATATC